CAGCACTCCCAGCAGAGCAGGCAGACTCACGTGTGTGCTGCTGCAGGTGGAAGATGAGCTCTGCAGCCCTGGCCAGGCACAGGCGCACCTCGGCCACGGCCTGCAGGTACTGCACAGAGGCTTCCTGGGGAGCCCCTCTGCTGCTGCAGGGCAGGTAGTGCTCTGGAAAGGCTCTGTCCTCAGGCACACTGCTCCCGGGCCCACATCCCAGGCTGTCCTCCGACTTCTCACACATGGAATCCTGGAGAGAGGCCACAACACTGGTGAGTGGCAGAGCCACCTCACCCAGCCATTGCTGTGTGCTCATGGCACCCACCTACCCACCCTGGGGTGCCATGAGCACAGAAAAGCATCCCTGACCTTCCAAACCATCCCTAACCCTCCAAACCATCCCTAACCCTCCACCCCACTGCCATTGCCCCCCATCCTAAACCCCTGCCAAACACCATTCCTAGGATGTGCCCCAGCTGTCCCAAACTCCCCAAGCTTGGAGCTGAGCAAGAGCCATAAGCAGGCTGTGAATAACACACATTCCATGATCCAAGATGCCAAGCTCTACCTGTCTGTCCCTTAGCAAGAACAAATGGTGATTTTAACTACAAAATCCTGCAAGTAATAAACCTCTCCCCTGCTGCCACATTTGTTCCAAGTTGTCCAAAGCCCTGAAGGTTATGCAAGGAGAGGCAAGGGAACAATCCAAAAGGCACAATGATTTAAGTTCTGCACAGTGATTTAAGGGTCTGTGGAGACAAGAAGCAGTTCAGCACTGGGCTGCTGCCATGAGAAAGGCCCTGCTTGCTGCACTCCTGTGCTGGAGGTTGAGGTTTAACATCCAGACTCTTGTCCAAGGGAAAGAATTTATGTACCACTGCAAAGCCACTCAAGCCTTTCCTTGAAAAGCAAAGCTCATTCCTGAGAGCAAGCTCTGACCAGGTGATTTGGTATCAACTCCTTCTGGGCTTTCTAGTGAGAAAAATAGCTACATACACAAGAAACACACCTAGAACTGCAGAAGAATTTCTGTTCTTGGCTTTTTTTACTCATGAAACTACAACAGTTTCATAGCCCAGCTCTTACCTCCAAGCAGTTGACAAAAAGCAGGTAGAGCTCTTTTTTGTCATTTTTCTCTAGGAGCTCGTTGTGCTCCACCTGGGACAGGTAGCGCTGCACATCATCTTTGACTTCATTGAAGCTACAGGGGAGAGAGAGACCCTGACACAGCTGCCATGCTGGCAGGGCTGCCCCTGCTCTGAGCTCAGCTCCCACAGGGGCTGGGGGACAGCTGGGGTCGCTCTGGAGCCAGCTGCAAGGTGGAGAAGCCCTTGTGCCATTTTCTGCAGTGACATTTGGCAGTGAGCTGGGCTTTGGTCATCAGCAGAGCTCACTGAGCCCTTCAGGACAAAAGGCACCAGGTTCAGGGGTGGGCACACCTGAGAAGGGCTTTGAGCCCTGCCTGCAAAGGGAGACTGGGAGGGCTGTGGGAATGGGGGGTCTGTGGGGCAGACACAAGATCAGTTTAAATCCTGATTAAATCTCAGTGAATTAGGAGTTTTGCTTTGCTGACCTAGATCAGAGCAGCTACTCAGCCGCCTTGCAGAACCAGGCATCCACCCTCAGCACAGGGTTAGTGAGGGACAGCCAGGTAAACCTTGCACAGGCTGCTCACACTGCACCACCAGCCAGCCAAGCTGCATGACTAATGCAAAGATTGCGAGATTTTGTGGTGAGTGTGAGATTCAATGGAACTCAGGGAGGTGAGGAGAACAATGGGATGGGTTTGATGAGGAACTGAGCTGAACCTGGCCTGGCTTAACCTCCCTCAGCTGATTGTGCCCACCTGTACTTCAGGAGCAGCTTCAGCATCACAGAGCGGATGATGGGAGTCTCATCCACCTCATCATTAAACGGGGACAGGAATTTGGTGTAGACAGCTGGGTGAGCTGTGGAGACAAGGGAAGGACAGGTCTGGCAGGTGAGAGAAGGTGGGGACACAGCTCCAGCTCCATAGGACAGTGTGAGGGTGAAGGGAGCTCACCTGGGTCCTTCACGAGGCTTCTGTGAACAAAGAGCAGGTCCAGGAGCCTCTGGATCACCTCTGGCTCAGGGGGCTCGTTGTCCTTGAAGCACATGGTGGTGACCATGTCAATGAAGAAGTTGTTGCACCTCTGGCGGAACAGGGCCTTCTTTGCTATGGCAGCTCTGGGAGGGGCAGAAGCAAACACAGAACCCCTTAAAGCACAGAGGAATCCAGCACACACAGAGGCAAAAGTCACCCAAGAGAGACACTTTCCAGCCTTCCCAGTGAGATGAACCTTGACATCCCTTCCAACCCAAACCATTCTATGATTTGCATGTTTTTACAGAGGCCAAGGCAGCTTTTTCCTTTTTAAAAACGACAGAACAGACAGGGCCTGTTCAGCTCCAGAGGGATGAAGCAGAGTTCACCCCCCACTCTGTTCATGTTCACCATCTGAGTTGAGCATTTCCTCACAAAGCCTCCCCACTGAATGCTCCCACCTTGGAGAGGGTGGCTGCAGTACCTGAGCTCCTCAGAGACAGTTAATTGCACGTCCTGCAGGGCAGCCCTGCAGTAGGGGCAGTACATCTGTGCTGGCACCAGCCACTGGCTGATGCACTTGTGGCAGAACACGTGGTTGCAGGGCATGCACACGGGCTCCTTGGGCTCTCCCAGGCAGATGGGACACGGCTCCAGACCATGCCTGGAATGCAGAAACAGCAATGAGCTCAGCTGCTTCCAAAAGCCCTGAACATGTTCAGCTGCACTAGACCAAGAGCTGGCTCACTGCTCAGCCCAGGGTGCAGAACCAAGCACCTTGGCTTCCACTGCACCCATGCAGCACTGCCATAACCCAGTGTGCTGGCAATGTCCCTGCTGGCCCCTGCAGCCTGCCCCAGTGCCAGTACCTGTAGAGCCTGCTGCTGACCTCGTTCTTGCACTGGCACAGCACTGTCAGCACTGCAACAAAGGTTGGATGGCACTTCATGTCTGAATCGTGCTGGAAACACTGCACAGGGAAAGGACAGGGCCCAGTGACTGAGCTGCAACACCCGGGAGCAGAATTGCCACGATCAGCAGAAGAGGGAAGAGGTGAAATGGCAGCTTTGCTCACCTTGGCAAGAAGCAGGGTGTATTTCCTCACCAAGCCCTCGAATTCGGGCATGAGGGCGCGGATGCCCAGCAGGACGTGCTCCACAAAGAGTGCCATGGCAAACACACGGCTCCAGCAGGCCCTGGGGGGACAGCAGGCTGGCACCAGGGCAGCCAGGGCTCACTGCTGCTCCTGCTGCCCTCCACAGCACCCTGCACTTCTCACTGGCACTGCCCTTTGGCTTCCCTGAGGGGTTTTTGTCAAGGACAGAACATTCCAGCACTTCGCCCAGGGGGCTGAAGGGCCTGGCCTGGAGGCAGCACTGCAGCAGGACAGCAGCACTGCACACACCTTCCCACACCTCTAGTTCCAAAAATTTTTAAAATACCAATCACAATTAGCTGCACTTTTTTCACTTCAAATAAACTAAACAAGGTCTGTGAGAAACTGGGATAGTGCTCTGGGCTCCCTTCCAAAGCACAAGAGGCAGTGAAATTCCCCATCTCTTGAGTCCTTATGCACAGAGGATGAAGTGGGGAGACACTGCTGGTTAACAGGAACCTGAGGAGAGTTTTAAATAACCCCTGAACCCAGATGGAATGCACCAGATGATACTGCCAAATTTAGAGAGAGAATCTGCAGGAGATGAGGGGAAAAAAATGTGGTTCTTGCTGCTTGGTATGCAATTGAGCCCAGCAGGAACCTGGAAAGGTTTGCAAAGCCTGAGAAAAGCAGCACCAGAACAGCTTCAGGCTGCTCCAACGCCCCAGAGCACCCTGAGGCAAAGAGCAGGGCTGTGGGCAGAGCTGGGCACCCACCTGAGCTCCCTGAGCAGCTGGTGGCAGCGGCTGCCCCTGCGCTGGGCACTCTCCTCTTTGCACAGGAACTCAATGGGCATGTGGAGGTTCTTCACCCTCTGCAGCCAGAGCTCAGGGGGGGCTGTCTGAACCAGCTTCTCCAGCTCCTCAGCACAGCCCATGGCAGCCAGCACGTCCAGAACCTGCACACAACAGGGCCAGGGGTGACAACAGCAGCGTTTCAGAGTTACTCATGGACCCTGGGCTCTCAGTCTGGCTTGCTACAGCACATGCTCTACTGAATAATGTCCTAAACTTTTCAATTCTCATGTTTGTGGCTTGGCTTGTTAGCACGTCCTATTAACTGACACAAAAGCAAGGCAAAGTCTGCTAAAACCTGCTTGTAGCAATAAGAACACAGCAATCAGGCTGAGGCAGTGACTGTACCATCTCAGAGCAGGGAATCCTGTACCCCTGCTGGCCCAGGAGGTGCCCAGTCACCCGTGGGTACACAGCCAGGATCCTGGAGAAGTTCTGCAGGCGGCTCCTGAAGCGGCTGTGTGCCAGGTGGGCCCAGGGCAGCGAGGGCACCAGCTCCTTCCTCCAGGGGGACTCTGCCACCCACTGCTCCACGCAGGACAGGAACGCCACGCGCAGACACTGCGGGGTGGGACACACACAGCCAGAG